AAGGGCACCTGAGCCACCGCCGTGTAGGTGGCTGCATAGACCAGACCCTGCAGGAGAGGACATGGGCATCAGCGGGCAGCCTCAGCAGGGGTGTTGGCTTCTGCATCCTGCCTGCCCACCAGCAGGACCTGCCCCTTGGGGGCTGAGCCCACAGCATCCCCTCCCCAGCATGCCCATGTTGGGCTCCTACCTTGTCCTGGTCTAGCAGCAGGTGGAGAATGGGCTGGCCAGCGGGGAAGAGGCGGATCTCCTCAATGATGTGCACACCATGGTCCACACGCACAGCCTTGTGCAACCGGCCGTCATCTGCAAACACAAGGATGATGCTGAGCCGGGCTGGGGCAGGCAGTGTGCCAGCACCCACATCCAGCACCCACGCCCCCAGCACCCACCCGTGCCCAGGAAGAGGACGTCGTAGGTGCCGTGGAGGCCCTGGGTGCGGTGGACGCCGATCTGCTGGTAGCGCAGGTGGCTCTGCAGCAGCAGTGGCTGGCTGCGCTCCGGGTTGTCCATCAGGAAGTGGTCCTTGATGAAGTTCAGCACCCGGTCTGGCATCTGCAGGGACGAGTTGATCTTCAAGTGCCGCGTGTGGCTGGGGATGCACTAGGGAGAGAGGAGAGGGCTGGGCACGGGGCACCAGGTGGGCAAGTGGTGGCCAGTGGCCCCCAGGAGCAGGAGACAGGAAGGGCTGTCTCTCGTCCTGCAGCTGGGAGGGACGTACCGTGCCTGGGCGGGGCTCCGGCACGGGGCCGGTGTCCGTGTACCACTGCTGCGTCTCGCGGTTCACCTCCTTGTAGAGCCCGGAGAAGGCTCGCTGCACGCTGCGCATGGGGAAGGCGCAGACAGCCGAGCTGCCCAGGCCGCCCTTGTTCCTGTCAGAGGAGAGACAAAGCCCATGGCAGGGGCTGCCAAGCCCTCTGTGCCCCCCGAGGACCCCAGACCCTGCCCTCCACTCACCACTGCGAGGTGAAGACCCCATAGAAGAGGGTCTCCCTCCAGTGCAGCTGCCCTGGGGTGAGTACGAAGACATCCTGCAGCACGTTGAAGGGGAAGCCGTCCTCGGGGTGGGAGCAGAGCAGCTGTGCCTTTAGGAAGGTGGTCCAGCGCCGCTGCAGCACACGCTCCCCACCCTGGTCCCCCTGTAGACCACAGAGTGTCAGGGCATGATTCCACAGCCATGGGGAGCCCTCTGGGGACAGGAGGGCCAGCAAGGGTCTGTCTGTCTGTGCAGCAGTGCCAAGACCCCAGTGGAGCAGTCCCAGTGTCAGGGAAGCACAAGTGATGGATGTCCAGGAAAGGCAAATGGGACACAAAAAGAAGATGGGGCTGGTGTCCCCTGTGGTTGAGGGGCAGAAGAGATGGGGAGGGGTCGCTGCCACCAGAGGGGCCAGTGGGAGCAGTGGGCTTGAGCTGCAGCCCTAAGCTGAGCACTCTGGAGCCATAACTGCCTCAGTGGGGCCTCCCATGAGTGTTGGTCCCCTCCTGGGGTGCCCAGGAACTGGGTACAGGGACGTGCAGGGTGGTCCAACATCCCCCCTGCCCCAGTGGCAAGTGATGGCCTGGGCACAGCTCTCCCGCACAGCCCCCCACTGCCCCACACCCACCTTGCAGACACGAGCGATGCGGGATACGATGGTGTTCTCAAAATAGTCAAACTCCTTGCCGGTCTCGCTGAAGAAGAAGTAGACCTTGTCGTCATCGCCCTCAGGGTTGCCAGTGGGCAAGCTCTCCCGCAGGTAGGCTGAGCCCACGAAGACAGGGTCTGGGGACACAGGGACCCTCAGCACAGCCCCACCACCAGGGCTGGCCACATCCCCATGGAGTATGGAGACCCTGGCCAGCTGTGCCAGCCCCAGACCCCTCACCCTGCAGCCAGCTGAGGGAGTTCTCGGTCTTGAGGGCGATGCGGCTCTCCTGGCTGCGGGAGATGGTGGGCTCATTGCCCTGGAAGTTGCTGACGGTCCCGGCGTACAGCTCACCGTCTGCCAAAGAGATGCTCCCGCTGGGACCGGCACACACACGGCACACGCTGGGCTCCGTTTGGCATGGCCCCAGCTCAGCCTGGCTGAGCAGCCAGTGCTGCACCGGGCAGGGGTCCAGAGCAGGGGTCCTTACCGACCATGACGGCCGTGGACCGGTACTCAGGGTCAAAGGGGCAACGACCCTTCCCATCTTCCAGCAGCACCTTCCCTGACCCATCCCGCTCCAGGCTGAAGCGCTGCACATTCTGCAACGGGACCAGGATGTGAGCTGGCAGCCCCCCAGTACCAGGGACCCCCCCAAGGGGGACCCCAGTCCCACTCCCCATGCTCACAATGTAGGTGCAGGCGGGGGTGGAA